CCCCCCCCCCCCCCCCTCCATACACTTTCCTTAATGCTATAGTTTGAAAAAAATATTATGAAAGCCTATAATAATTGCTGTATCTGATTTTTGTTTTACTCTAAATTTGTATTGGAAAAGCATAATTGCAGGTTGGCATCTTTTGCTGTCCTGACTTGATGATAGGTAGGCATTCAGGTCGACAGCATTTGCTGTTTGTCGACCTGAATTCCAAGGCCTGCTTCTGCGTGTATATATAGCATACTGTACATGTTATGATCTATTAATTATTTTGTCTTTTAGCAAACCAAATGTGGTGCCTTGCATTGCATCTTCCTCTCTTGGTGGGGGATTACGTTCCTGAAGATGATGAGCACTGGAAATTGTTATGTACCTTGTTGGAGATAACAAGAATTGTGTTTGCACCAACCATCAGCAAAAACCAAGTTGCCTATCTGCAGATATTGATTCAAGAACACCATGAGAAATTTAAGGAGTTGTTTCCACAGTGTAACATCATTCCGAAAATGCACTATATGATTCATATGCCGAGAACAATATTGGGGTGAGTATTGGAAATTAGAACACTGTGTAGTGTGTGCCATGCAGTAACAGCTACATGCAGAAAAAAACCTATAGTTCGGTGGAGACCTTCTTCTGCTGGCAGGCTACATGTTTTGCAGTTCCCTAACAGTCCTGTTTCAAGTTTGCAGTTCCATGTTTTAATTCCTATTCCTATTTTAGATTTGGCCCTCTTGTTAGGAGTTGGTGTATGCGGTACGAGGCCAAACATCATTACTTCAAGCGCTTGGCAGTTACAACTGGGAATTTTATTAACTTGCCATGTACGCTGTCAAAAATACATCAGGAAAGCGTATCTTACCGACTTCAAGCATCCAACGGAAGTCTTAGCTCATTCATTGAGAAAGGAGTTGAAATTGGACCAGGTACTGTAATATTTTAATATTTACATTTCAGCTTTTTTCAGCTTTACAGTACACATACCTGTTTTCTCGTGCTGGCAGCCACAGACATTCATAGGCATTTAGCCAGTCAGAAAACAAAAGAAGAGTACAGTGCCGGTACAATGAATAATATTGGTATTTCCAAAACTTAAATTAATGTTTTATGTACATATATACTCCAGGTACCAATCGTTATGCAGCTGATGTCCCTTACCAAGCTCAATTGAAAGAGGAAAATGGAAACACTAATCCCCTAACTCCTGTTTATGAGTAAGTCTTGTTGTTGATATTCTGGTATTACCTCAAGAAACCACCATATATGACTATTGTCCCTTTTTTCTGTGAACAATCATTAGATGCCCTGATGATTCTCCACAAAAGAAACAGGGCTGTAGTGGCTTTTTGAAAATCTATATAATTTTGCTATTTATCTTTTTCTTTGTCAATTTAATTGTTTGTCAACAATAGATTAATAGTGATTAATCGTATTCATTATGTTAAGCGTGATTACATACTGTTAAGCATACCGGTAATCGATTGTACAAAAATAATCTATCAATCGATTAATCTATTAATTAATCTGTAGCAGCTCTAGTATATGGTATTGACTATCGAGTACTCGTTGCGTATGTGTATAATGCATAACTTGTGACTGTGCGTAAAAATGCAGTGGTGATTAAGGTGGCTCAATGCAGTTTTTCAAAAAATGGAAAATTTACGATTTAGATGCGTATTTGTGGATAATTATTACTTGTTGATAAACAAAAAGTACCTTACTTATATAAAACAACATCTAAAGAGTTTGAATTTTTGTACAAAAGTTACGCAACTGCCGTTGCTATGGCAACAATGACATTTCAAGATGGCGGATAGTTTGGCTTTAAAGTAATTTAACTCCTAAACGACAACGCTGACCCCCAAATTTTATTTTAAAAAGTGATTTCTCTTAGTACAATCAATTATTTTGACAATTTAAAAAAGATTCTGTGGAGCCGAAATATTTTAAATTTAATACGAAAAGGTGATTATTCATAATAGTTTTGATTTGGCTCTACAGAATTTTTTTTAAATTGTTAAACTCCTTAGATGTTGTTTTATGTAAGTAAGGCACTTTTTGTTTATCGACAAGTAATAATTGTCCAAAAATACGCATATAAATCGTGAATTTTCCATTAAAAAAAAACTGTATTGAGCCGCCTTAAATGTAGCCTGTGCACATCCTGTATTACCCTGTACTACAGGGTAATACAGGATGTGCACAGGCTACCTTAAATGAGAGAAGGGCAGTGTGAATTATTCCAGGCCTTCCCAGAAGGCAAAAATTTTACTTATTGATTTGTTCACCTCTTCCAGTATGGCAGATAATGCTGGCGGCCCCCAGTGTTCAATAAGGTCACAAAGCATGGGTCGAACTGCCAGCTTGTCACATCAAGTTTTCAGTTTATTGAATTATGCTGGACCCATGTGATAACATTTTACATTGAATATAATTGAGCTTTTTGCCAACTTTTCTTTTGTCCAGGGCAAGGTGGGTTACCATTCATGGTACGAAACACAAAGTTGGTGCAGTGATCCATATTGGCTACAATGCAGAAGAGTTGCCATTGTTTTGGAAAATTGAGAAAATAGCTATTATCAACAAAGTAGTTAGTGAAATTATGTTCATTGTTTCACAGATAGAAACCCTTCTTTCTAACAAACATTATCAATGTTATGAAGTAGTTACACCAACAAAGCCACAGATCAAAGTTACTTATTTTAAGGATTTCTCCTGTTATTTGCCCTTGAGTGAATCAAAGGCTCAGAGAGATCAAGTGTGTTCAAATAGTAAATTCATATGTGTCAGATATGATCTGGATTCGTGTTAACCATCTGAAAATGGAACACAGCCATTGTACATATACACTAATAACATAGAATGAATAAAACATCCAAGCTTTTTTTTAATTTTCTAGGCTGTGACTTGGGGGGGAGGGGGGTATACTAGTTGTCTAATGAGAATGACATTAAAAATCACTTCAACTCAAGTCAGGTAATACCCATGCATTTGTCTCTAATCTTTAAGTGCTGATAAAGATAAAGTTGAACCGGTTAAGAACATAAATAGGGGGTGGGGTGGGGCGGATTGTAAAAATTGACCATAACACATTAGATTACATGACGAAAGAGAGGATTCCAACCCCAGGACCCCAGACGGTTATGGTGGGCAGGCTTCTAGCCAGGATCCTAAAAGAGGGTGTCCAATTTTGGTACAACGATACATCTACAGTAAAGAGGGAGGGGGGGTTGAGAAAATGTTCCTCTGGAAAACCTTTGAAGTTTACATTACTTCATATCAGTATCTGTTCCAAGCTCGTTCGAAATTTTTCAAACACACTTGGTTTGTGAGCACTGAGTTTGTGCCGCTATGCTGCTTTACTTAACTACAACGGCTGTGACATTGGGGGGGGGGGGGGGA